GCGCCCGGCCTAGAATGTGTATCTTTTCAAAACTACATTGAGTACTATAAATTTTGAAATGTCTTCCATCAAAAGGTGGAACATTTGGATGGAATATTGATCATACCTAGGAATGAACAAGCCAAGTATGGTGGCACACACCTGTAGTCCCAGCTACTTGCGTGGCTGAGGCAGGAGGATCACTTGAGTCTAGGAGTTCTGGGTTGCAGTACACTATGCCAGTTGGGGGTCTGTACTAAGTTTGACATCTATTAATATGTAGTGACCCCCCCCTCTCTGGGAGCAAGGGACCACTGGGTTGCCTAAAGAGGGGTGAACCAGCCTAGGTCAGAAACAGAGTAGATCAAAACTCCTGTGCTGATTAGCAGTAGGATCGTGCCTGTGAATAGCCACTCTACTCTAGCCTGGACAACATAGTGAGACCCCCATCTCTTAAAATAATAATAATAATTTTTTTAAATGAAGAGATCTTAGACAATCTTAGATACTAATTCTAAAGGAAGAGTTTAGAGAAAGTGAATAGGGCAAATAGAGCTGATAATTTACATTATCAACCAGGCATTTAGTTACTTAGAAAAACCTTGGCTTAATAACCCCATAATCCCCAAAGTAATTCCTTGTTCCTTGGCCTTACAACATCAGATCTCAGTAATATTGAAGTTTTCATCTGTAGCTCTAGTAAAGGATGATCCTCTGTGTGGCCCTCACAGCCAGCTACTGACATGTCTTTGAAGTCATTAGAGAAGTGAGATGGCACCTGCTACAATTTGCCATTGTAGCATTATAGCCTCGTAAGGCACTGAATTCTTATCCGTCATAGCACTGAGCAGAGAGCTTTGAGGAAATAGTCCCCACAGGTTGAGCTACTTTGCAAAGGGTTTTTTTGTTTGTTTGGTTGGTTGGTTTTTTTCTGGAAGCCTAAAATTTAATCTTAATCTTACTTCACCAAAGAAGTATCTTTTATTTTTTCTTAAAGTAAAAACAACATTTCCATAATTCTGTTTCCCCAATTCATAATTGGACCATGGTCAGAGGAAAGCACCCATGGTAGTGTTTTGGGACTATGCCAGAGGAAAGAGGGTGGTTTTAGTAGTCACTGCTATCAAAATAGCCTATGTCAGACAGTGGTAAATTCTCTATCGATGACAATATTCAGTCAGAGGCAAGGATGCTATGGAAAGAATTAAAGCATCAAGGAGCGCTTGGATAAGATGCAGCTTAAAACAGTGAGTGCCCAAATAAGGTTTTCATTCGTCTAAAACAAAATGAGGAAAACAAGGCAATACCTGAATTAGGTATGTGCAGGATTTGGGGGATTAAGGGGAACATGCTGAAATACGTCATTATAAGGTTACTAACTTCCCATTTTGTGATAGAGTTTTCCTTTATTCTGAATGATAGAATATTCTTTTATCTTTTGTATGTTAAAATGTCATTTCTATTAAAAAATATTATTAGTAAATAAGATGTTTCTTAGGCCCTAACTATACAAAATTAAAAATTGATAGCCTTATATCAGTTCCTTTTTCTTTTTTTTTTTTTTACTGTCTTAATCTTTAAAATCCAAAAGTTTGGAAACTGTTGCCTTATCCTTTTTAGTCTTGAGAATCAGTGGCTCAAAATTTATTCCTTTTACTTTTGAATAAAATGTTACTACAAGGGAAGAATCTGAATTCAAACTTTTTAGATGTTATTTTGGCCTTCATTTCACTTATGTCAATATAAACAACAAAATTCACAGTATCCTACAGAAAAATAGGTTGTCTTCATTTTACAAATGACCAACTGAAAGACAGTTCTGTTGTTTTTTTGTTAAGGGATTCTACAGTGCTTTCAGTGCTACCGGTGATTAATATTTTATTAAATATCTGCAGAATTTTAGTAAATAGAACTTATTTTAAAAAAAAGTCCTAGCCCTCTGGAAACTGACATGGTATATAGGTACGGACCAGGCCTAAGAAAAATAGCTTCAGTCAACCGTTATGTTATAATTTAGGAACCAAAAGGAACTTATTTATTACAGAAACTTTGAATTGCCAGGATTTTTACAGATTTTTGCAGAGTAGACTAATTAATGACATCTGATAGGCAGCATGTTTCCTTTCCATTTTCCATAAAGAAAAGCCTTAAACCATTTTTTTTCAGAGGGTAATGTACTAGGGCTACAAATAAATCCATTTAGCCTGATAAAGATATTCTTAAAAGTAACCAGGGTCATCTTGGATCATTGTAGAATCTTAAACACAGATTCTAAGAAATAGTTAGAAACTGTAAGAAACAAAATAGTTATGTCTTCATCTGCTAGAGGAATTATAATTTGCAAATGAATAAGACACACAGCCCCTTTGACTAACCTGATGTGGATAAATCACTGTTCTGAGTCAAGGTGAAGCTCTTTAAGATGGAAAAAAATGCAAATTTGATACTAGAGCCATGGAGGAATGGAATAAACCAAATGGTAGAGGAGAAATACCATTATGTGGAAAATGCTCAGGATGTTGATAAATGGCAATTATAGCGAAAGCCTTTCTAAGTAAAAAGGTCCATTGTAAATTGTGTTAGCCACACAGCCTAGTGGTTAGGAATACAAGCCCTGGAATCACTAAATTTGAATCCTGGTTCTCTAACTAGATGTGCAACTGGCAAGTTACATAATCTATCTGGGTTTCAGTTTCCTTTTCTTTAAAATAAGGAACTCTATAAAAATATATCTCTAAAAGGAGGATAATAATAGTATCTATCTCTAGGACTGTGGTATTGTTTAAATGAGTTAGTTCCTGTAAAGTACATAGAGTAGGACAAGGCATGCAGTAAGCATGTGGCTTACTCTTTCATCTGCAACTCTTTGCTTAAATGTCACCTTAGGCTCTCCTTGATTGCCCTAATGAGTTGGCAACCCCATGCTTTCTGTCCCCTTCTTCCAGCTTCTTTGTCTTCTCACTCTAGAATGAGGCCTTTATTCATTGCTGTATCCTTAGTGCCCAGAGCAGTGCCTGACACATAGTGGGTAAGTAATTGTTAGATGAGAAATATACATATATGATGGCTGTTATTCCTATTTATTCAACAGGGATTCAACAGGGATTTTAAGTTGGGAGTGGTGAATTTGGGATACACAAAATATAAGCAGGAAAACAAATTGCAGCAAGGCTGACAATGCCAAAGGAATGGGCTTTGAGGAAAAGAGGCATACAAGCAGATGGCATCATTAGATATAGATCATCTTTGTGATATATCATTTAATCCTCTTGGCAAATCAAGATAAATGAGTTATATTAAGAGAAGGTTATTCATGCTGCTCCAGGTAGGCTGCTACTTACCATGCTTATACTCAACAGAAACCAATAATTATTTCCAATTCCTGTCTTCTTACAGGTTGGAGATATAATAACAGAGCTGGAATCTGTAGATGATGACTGGATGAGTGGAGAACTAATGGGAAAATCTGGAATATTTCCCAAAAACTATGTTCAGTTTCTACAAGTCAGCTAAAGGTGAAGCTTGACTGTGTTTGTTGACACAAGAACTCACTTGAACTATCACTTTGACTATCAGATACGTTTTTGCACTATTTTTTTAACTGAAAAAGAAATATCTAAGCTGTACATGGTACACTAGAATTTTCTGAAAGGAGAAAACTTCTAGATTTTGTTGTTAGCTTTCATTACAGTAGAAACATGCACATGGAAACGCATGAGCTTGGATTCTACCAAGGAAAATATCTAGCAGGATTAGCAAGGGAGACACATTTCCCCGGGGAAAGCATCTGATGACATGGCAGCACAGGGAAGCTCACAAGCAAAAGTTGCACTTGGACATCTATTTTAATCAGCACAAGTGAATTAACAGTGCTTCTTCATTTTTTACTTTTGTTTAAAAAGAGGATGTTTGACATTCTATATCATGTAACTATCAGGACATGGTTGGTAATCTAAATTTCATTTTTGATATTCAGATTAATTCTTACAGTTTGAATGCATTAGACTTATTACCTGGGCTAGTCTTTCCTTCAGGAGAGATCATTTAATGACTAGTTGGAGCATTTGTAAGCACATAGTGAAATCAGTTCATGCTCACCAAATGCTTCTTGTGTTACTGTGTTTTCCATTTGTCCAAGGATTTGAAGGTGGTCAAAATGTGATGTATCTTACCTACTCAAAAGAACCAAAAGCATCCCTGAAATGCCTAGCTAATACAACTAACCCTTCCATATACACGCTATACTTATTTCTTTCCTCGATGTATACTTTATGTTAACCGGGTTATTATAAAGCATACTTTCTGAATCTGCAATCATTCCTTTGACAATTACTGGTACCCAAAGGAAAATTCATTTTCTTTGCATTACCCCAGTAATATATAAAAGCTGTGTCTTGTTATAGTAGTGCATTATGAATCACAAATAATATCTTAGAATACGGAACAGCTGTTAAGATGGAAAACAATGCCAAACCCCCAAAGCTCGTTTCTTTACAATGTAATCAGAATGAAAAATAATTTAGAGGACTGAAGACTGGTACTTTTTTGTTTTATTTTTTCCCTAGCTCATCCCTGCATAATTATTAGAGTAAATAAAAAAACCACTTTCTTGCTATCCATTGTTGTACATTCTAAGCTTAAGATAAAAGTGGTTCTTTTCATGACTGATTCAATTACAGTTTATGGGCTAAAGCCAAATAGGTTGAAGACAATCTTCCAGACAGATCAATGGAATAGAATTTTATCGGAAATGTAGAACACTTTCCCAACAATGTTTATGACTTTCTTCTATTTTGGGAAGAGTTTCATATGCTGGACCACTTTTTGCTTTTGTTATTTTTTCCGATTGTCCAAAAAGTTAGGCCATCAATGGTTACACCATTATGGGAACACCACATAGAGTTCTGTAGGGAAGATAATATTTACTTTGTATTTTACTAAAGTTAATCTCCCAGTTATGTGGTTACATTTGGTTTTGGAGTATGAGAACTTTTTTCTACATGTTTGTGGTAAAGAAGAGAATATAAAGAAAATTCTTGTCAAATTTCATTCGAAACTAATTTCATGAGAAATGGGTCACTCAAAGCATTATCCAAACTAAATTCTCAATTGCAGCAAGGTGTACAACAGCAAGAAGTGGGTGGGGACATGGAATGGAACAGGAGGTATATTATCTTTGCTTGTGTAATTTTAACATCTTATATTGAAGATTCTGAAAACCTGTTTTTATTGGAGAAAAATATCCCCCTTAAATTTTGGCCTTCTGTCAGCAGAATGATAAGTGCAATAGTTGTAAATCTACTTGACACTATAATAAACTGAACCGAACTTTCTATTTTTTTTTTTTTTTGGTGGGGGTGGGGGTCTTCCAGTGAGGACCAGAAAACCTGCTAGACAAATTCTAAAAGAGCTGGGACACTGAACCAAGCTCTCAAATTTCCTTTCTCCTCATATAAGACTGAGTTTTTTAGAATGGAGATGGTTTCTTATTTATCTTTATAGCTCCAGTCCTTCGTGCCATTTAGGTTCAAGGTTGGTTCGTTGGATGGATGAATATATAGCAATACCATTTGGATCCACTCAATATCTTTCCTTTTTAATTTGTGAACAAAAATCTATATTGAAACAAAATTCCTAGTTTTATGTCATTTCACTCTGTCATGCTCTATTTTTTGCTTGTCATTTATTACCTACACAACTGACAGGAAGCAAAAACGTAACATATAGGCTTTCATAGGTGCTTTCTTATTCTGTGTATTGATTGAATTCAAGGCAAGACTCAACCACGTTTAAAGAGAAACATAATTCTATACTCAGTGAATTTCATCAGGGAGAAATAGGAATGCATTCTGTTTCCTTTCAGGTATTTTGGGTTAAAACCTGATATTGTTCATCTGAGCCTCCTCAAATTGGAATCTCTGAATCTTTGGTGGGTTAAAACTAGAGAAGCCATTTATTATATTATTCTTAATCATTTTGAACACTAAAAGACAGCATATTTCTTTCTTTTTTTTTTTTTTTAGTTAGAAAAGTCTTATTTTTCTTCTTCGCCTCCTCCCTACTCTTACCAACAGCATATTTCTTTAAAAGATTCCCATGTTTACATGGCTGGAGGGGTAATGGAATATATCTGCCATTGTGCTCATGGAAGTCACAGGTCATGAATACAATCTGTAACATTCAGAATGAAAGAAATCAGCGCATTTATCAAAATTTATTGTTAGAACTGACATTTGGAAAAAAATATTTTTCTATAAGATTGTAAATCAATACCCTTAATAACCATTATTTAGTTTTTATTCTGTTTCCTAGGCTTGGATAAATATACCTAGAGAAAATAGCAATGGATACATGTACTAACTATAAGGGACTGTTCACTCTGGTATAATCACTAATGGTTTATTCCTTTTAATTAGTGTCAAATGCACATGAACCATGTGATTCATGATTCAATGCTATTTTGAATGCCATTGAGTGAATTCTTAACAGTGAACTTTTTCAGAACTAATGGGAAATCATTTTCTAACCTATGCCTTTTTATTTCACTCTTATTATAGAAGGGGGAAAAAAAAAAATTCTGACCCAGGACAACACCACCATCTAGGGGCCTCTCATTTAATTGCAAGCTTGTTAAACCTCAGAAGAGTCCTTGGAGACCAGAGCTCAACTTGCAGAGGTTAAATGATTTGCCTAAAGTCACAGTTACTGGCAGAGCCTAAAGTAAAACCTAGCCCTACTGATTCCCAATCCAGTATTTTTTCCATTTATTATGGCAATGTGATACATTTCTCTTTAGCAGTTAAACAAGTAGAATTGATCTGTTTTATTGGCTATAAATGTTGCAACTTCTCATACAATACTTATGATAAGAAAGAGTTGCATAGAATAAATTAAAGACTTGAATTTTTCTCTTTCAAGAAGAAAAGTCTTGGCCAGG